AACTCAACAAAATCAGTAAACGTATTTTATTAAACAAGCAACAGAAAATAAACAGAATCAGTAAACATAATTAATTAAAAAACAACATAGAATAAGCAGAAATAGTAAACGTAATTAATTTATACAAACAACAAAAAATACAGAATCAATAAACATTGTTAATTTAAACAAACAGCAAAAATCACAGAAACAATAAAAATGATTAATTAAACAAACATCAGAGAATAAGCAGAAACAGTAATCATAATTTAATCAACATACAAACACACCAAATAATTATCAGACAAAACAGCACACAGAATATAAATACAATTATCTATGCTTTCACTTTATAGAATAGTCGTAACCACTCAATTACCAAGTGTCTTCACAATAACTTAGAATTTATTCCACCAGAGCCACTCATTGCTTGAATGTACTCCACTTGTACGACCATATTCTTTACTGGCCTCGTACTGGAATTCCACTTATAATATATATATATATATATATATATATATATATATATATATATATATATATATAATTCTCCTTTACAGAATCATATCATCATTTACCATTTCATCATCAGCATAAAGCTTTATTTCAGTAAGCACACATATTTTTTAATTTACCAATTCCTTACACCTACTGTAACAAAATTACAATACACACATTTTCCAACACTTTCATTTTACAGACATAATTAATTCGTCTTTAACATCATGCAAGTCATACAATTTTACCAATGTACCAGTTAGCAGTACCTCACACAACAAAATCACATTTTTATTAAATCCACAGAACATCAGATTTATTAACATTAAACTTATTCTTTAATTATAAACAGCATACTTCACACACTATATTTTAGTTATATGCATACTACCATTCTAGTACCCAACCATAGTATTACAGATATAACCATTATCCTACCGGGTACTGGTAGAACAATAAGCTAGAAGAAAACTCCTTAAACATAGAGCTTACCTGGCAAGCTCCACAACACTGAATCTTCATACAGTCACTCCTGAGTCAAATATATTCTCACAATAAAATACTATTAATCACTTGATTAACATCACTTGCAATCAATAACTCAAACCTAGACATCATTAATTGAACTAGGTGATACCCACACTTTATTTACATAATTCTGCTTGAATTAAAACAACCATCAAGATCATTTACTTGTGATGGCCGAATATTGACCCCGCAAGCATAATTACAAATACAAGATTTTCATTCTTTATTCTTTGTCCACTACACCATTTAATTCAAGTAGTCATTCCTTTAAGAACTTACCAACTTTCAACATTATTAATTCCATTGGTATTCATCTTTACTTAAAACCCCTTAATTCATCTTGATATTCAACATTTTTTTTTGGGTATGAACCTGGAGGTATCCCCATTCAACCTCCTCTAGTCACCTTGTCTCGAAATACAGCCCCAAATGCTACTTCCTCATTAGTACAGAGGGTGCATTGAGATTTGCCACCGAAGGAAGGATGAGACTAATCCCCCAATCGAGGCGAGGGACTATTCCTCTAGCCCCCAAAGATTTTCCAAGAATTTGCTTGAGCTAGGGTTTGAATCCCTGAACTAAGCAAACCCTTGGGAGCTCAATTGCCAGTTGAGCTACCTTTGGGGGTTGATATTCAACATTATTAATTAAGTAGTGAGTCAAAAATTTTCCTCCCGTTTAATTCATCATGGTCGAATTTACACTTAAGAATTTCTTAAGTTTAAATCTTTTTTCTTTTAGAATCAATTCCATCCACCTACACACTTGTTTAAGGAATTCTTTGAATACTTTAAATATCATATCATTCAACTTCAAAGTTTATTTATTATACACGGCCATATAAACATAAGTGTAGGTTTTAAATCTTTCTATTAATATGATTTTAAATCCAACAACCTCAAGCTTGTACTTAACCATAATTATTCATGATTTCATATAGTGTATAATTTAACAACAAAATTTACCTCTTGTACATGCTTTGGCCGAAACTATACATGTACATTTTTCATGATTTTATTCCACCAAGCTTGCATTCTTTTAATTCCAAGTATTAAACTCACATCCTTGATCATGATTTCACATGTTCTTCAAATTAATTAATTCACACACTATACGGAACCTATTTGGCCGAAGCCTTGTATGTGTTCCAACACATAATTTTCTTTTTACTTGCACATAAATCTTTTACTTAAAACTTTTACAACTCACCAAAGATCATTACTTCTTTAATACTTCAATTTAAATTCATAATACATTATTTTATATTAATTCAAGATTAAACCCTAATTAGGATTTCAAGTTGTTTTCTTGAATTTTTTTTAATTAAACTTATTAATTTAAGCTTGCTTCAAACAATCTTACTTTTAAAACATCCATTCACACAAAAGACTAAAAATTATCTTCATCTTTTTAAGACTCAAAGTAGAGAAAACAAAGAAAATATCTTGGAAATAAATCCATGTAACTCAAGTATTTTACCTTGAATATCTTCTATATTAGCACCAAAACCACATCCACTCTTTAAGCTCTTGAAAGCTTCGACTTACACCACAAGAACCACACTCCTTCAAGACTTTAAGGAGACCAAAACAACACTCAAAACAGCCTCACTTAACAAACCATTCACATGTACATGATCATAAGTTCTTAATCATCAACTTTTGTGTAGAAAACTAGAGTAAAAAATGTCTAGATCATAAACTATGGCTTGGTGATATGCGCTCAGCATATAAGGAAATCTAAGCCAAAAAGAGAAAGAATGTGATTAAATCTTAAGCAAAAAGGGCAATAATCACTGTTGATCTGTCAAATTCTTAATCAGAGATTACATACTGATTTTATGTTGATTTCGTAGGAAAAATAGACAAATTGGAGCTAAAAAGGGAAAAGCTAAACTGAAGGCCCATGCTCACAGCGTGGGTACGACGCTCAAAGCATGAAAGAAGCTTTTCAGCCAGAGGCATCCACACTACTAGCGTGGGATTCACGCTAGTGGCGCCAGAGGTCCAAAAACAGGCAGAAGCTACCATGCTACTAGCGTGGGATTGACGCTAGTAGCGCCAGACTTTTCACAAACCCACGCTTGAAGCGTGGCAACCACGCTAGTTGCGTGGAGCTCCAGGATTCTTCACAAGAACTCCCACGCTCACAATGTGGGAACCACGCTAGTGGCGTGGGAGGTGCGTCAATCAGCATTAAATCTGTTTTAAATCAGAGACAAATCACACTGAGATTACGACAAGGATTCAATCAAGATTCTCCACTAAGTCAAAGACTCTATAAATAGAGACTCAGACCTCAAGAGAAAAAGACACTTTTGCACAGAAGAAATTGTGAGCGACAGGAATCGGAGCAAGCTTTCGGTGACTGAAGATCAAGATTTCTTCTTCCATTCTTTCTGGTTATTTCTAGTTTTTATGAATTCTTTTGAATATTTTGTTTTGTCAGACATGAATATGTCTGGCTAGTCTTTTATATTGTGGTAAGGGTCACAACCCTTGATGTGAACCCCTTGTATTTTGATTAAGTTTATGGTTAATTATTCAATTGAATTTATTTTACTCTGTTCTTCATCCCATAATTCTTTTAGAATTCGCGACTCTATTAGGATTGCGAGGGTTAGGGTTCGCAATAGGGATATTGGGATTCTAATTCCTGACAAAGGGTAAAATAACAGTTCATGTATGCACTAGGGATAGGCTATATGAACTGCAAATGTGAAAATTCACTGGGCTTAAAGATTAACTTGAAAAGGGATTTCTAAGGGATTAGGATTCCAATAGGGTTAACAAGGTTAAGATCACTAAGGGATTAGGGCTTAACTAATTAATTATAGATGGTGAATTGTTTGATCAATTGGGTAATTAAACATAAATATTAATCATTATTACAAGGTGGGGATCGGAAAGGTGTTGGCGTCCTTTACTGCAATAGTTTTCTTACAATATTTTCTCAAATCTCAACCCCTTTTGCTTTAAGTTTTCAACTTCTCTTGAAATTTTCATAAATTATTGAATAACTCACAATTGTTACAAACACCATTACTTTCAAATCAACTCTTGTTCTTCCATTCTTAAAAGGAACAATTAATTGATATTCGACCCAATCCCTGTGGAGACGATACTTTTCTTATCACTTTATTACTTGGAACGATCGGTGCACTTGCCGATTTTTCGCAACAAGTTTTTGGCGCCGTTGCCGGGGATTGGCGTATCTTATATCAATTGATTTTGATTTTAAGATTGGATTTTTTATTTTTATTTTTAAATTTTTTGTTATATTTGGAACAATTGCTACTAATCTCTTTTCTAAGTTGTATACGAGGTAAAGAACCCGAGTTTCCACTTGATTTAGAGATCACAAAAACAGAGAAGAAAAACAGAAAATTTGCTCGGAAGAAGCTTGCATTCAACGAGTTAGATATTCTGCTAGAAGAAGATAAAATGGCAAACAACAATGATGCTGATAATCCACTCATGGACACTATTATGACTCCATTATTCAACAGACCCAATGCGAGCATTGTCCATCCTGAAGTGGGCAACAATCATTGGGAGCTCAAGTCTGATAATATTCAACTGGTGGAGAGAGCTCAGTTTGGTGGAGAGGATGATGAAGACCCTCATAGATTCATAAACAGATTCCTGATGATATGTGATTCTACAAAACATCCTCAAGTGTCTAATGATGCAGTCCGGCTGAGACTATTTCCTTTTGGTCTTAAAGGAAAGGCTCTTAGTTGGTTGGAAAGACAGCCTGCAGCAAGCATCTCAACCTGGGATGATTTATCACAGAATTTCTTTGCTCAGTTCTTCTCGATGGAGAAGTATAACCAGATGGTGAATGATATCACCAATTTCACTCAATCAGAGGGTGAATCAATGTGTGAAGCATGGAACCGGTTCAAGGACTTGATGAGAAGGTGTCCTCAGTATAACTTGACTGCTGGTAGTCAGGTTAGAATCTTTTTCAATGGTTGCAAACCGGAGATTCGGATGGTGCTAAATGGTGCAGCAGGGGGCACTATTAAAACTCTAAGAGCAAATGAGACTCTTGAGTTGATTGAGAGGATGCCTGCCAACGAAAACCAAGCGCTGTCATCCAAGCCTAAAAGAGGTATCCTTAAACTGGAAGGCAATGATGTTGTGATGGCTGAAAACAATTTGTTATCTCAGCAGGTAGCAAACTTGACATCACGGCTTGATAAGATGCAATTTTCTAGCGTCCAAGCTAAAGCAGCTTCAGTTATTTGTGAATACTGCAAGGAAAGCCATGATTCTAATGAATTTCCTACCTTACTGTCTGATGATCCTCCTCAACAGGTGCAAGTAAATGGTATTTGGTATGACCAAAGACCTTTGCCACAAAATGTTCCAAGAACTCAGAATTATCCTTCTGGGAATAATAACTTCCAAAGGAGGGTGCAAGGTACTGGTCTTGATTTCAAGTCCAATAACTATTTGCAGCCACCGTCAGTTCAACCGAAGGAACCTTCTGAGTTAGAAAAGCTAGTGGGACAAATGGCCCAACATTCCAATGATTTTATGGAAGAGACTCGGGCAAACACTAGAAACACATAAGCTTCCATCAGAAATTTGGAGAGTTAGATAGGCCAGTTGTCTAGAAAGTTGGCTGAAAGATCTCAAGGACAGTTCCCAAGTGATACAATTGTGAATCCAAAGGAGGACTGCAAGTCTATTGTAACTAGGAGTGGAATTGTGATCACTCCTCAAGAAAAGCCAAAATCGGTTCAGCCAAAGAAAGTTAATGAGCCAACAACTGAGCTGGAACATGAGAAAGAAGTACAAGCACCTATCAGTGAGCAAGAAGAAGCAAAGGAGAAAGCTGTTGAAGCTCCAAAGCAACCGATGGATTTTTCTCGCTTTGAGAAACCTCCATATCCTATGAAGCTCAAACAGCAAGCACAAAAGCAACAGTATGTTAGGTTTTTAGATATGTTTAAAAAATTGCATATTAATATTCCATTTGCTGAAGCTCTTGCTAACATGCCTAACTATGCTTAATTTATGAAAGATTTATTGTCTAGAAAGCATAAGTTGCCGGATTGTGAGACAGTAGCACTTACTGAAGAGTGCAGTGCCATCATACAGAAGAAGTTCCCACCAAAGCTTCAAGATCCTGGGAGTTTTAACATCCCAATTGCGGTGGGCAACACTAATGTTGGCCGGGCACTACGTGATCTCGGAGCAAGCATCAACTTGATGCCATTGTCAATATACAAGTCATTGGGAATTACTGAGTTGAAGCCAACCATGGTCTCTCTTCAGCTTGCTTACCGTTCTTTCAGGAGACCTAATGGAATCATAGAAGATGTTCTTGTTAAAGTTGACAAGTTCATCTTCTCGGCTGATTTCATCGTGCTAGACATGGAGGAAGAGAGTGAAATGCCCCTTCTGTTGGGTAGACCGTTCTTGGCCACAGCTCGAGCTATGATTGATGTAGAACAAGGAAAGCTCGAGTTAAGAATGAATGATGAGAAAATCACTATCAATGTTTTCGATGCTATGAAGAACTCATCTGACCACAGTGATTGCTTCAGACTTGATGTGGTTGAGGAAGCAGTCAAAGAGGTGGTTATGGAAGAGAAAAGTGAGCTTCAAGAGCTTGAAGAAGAGTTGAAGGCTCTAGATGAAGCTGCTCCAGAAGAAGAGCGAGCAACTGTCTTTGAGGTACTAGAAAAGAAAGAAGACGACTCAGCTACATTGGTACCAAAAGTGGAATTAAAAGAGTTACCTGAAACTCTTAAGTATGCTTTCTTTGGAGACAAAGAACAATATCCTGTTATCATCAATAAGGAAGTCCATCAGCAGTATAAAGAAAGCAAGCCAAAGGTTAAGATGGAAAAGCCCAAGGGTAAAGAAAAGCATGTGAAGACTAAGTTCAAAGTTCCTGAGAACCCTCATCCTTATCCACATGCATATGATCATAAAAGGAAACAATACTGGATCAAGAAGATTGGGTCATCAATGGTAGCATGCTTCCAACCACCATAAATCAAAAAGGGTACGTCAGGCTCGTGACGTTAAACAAGCGCTAATTGGGAGGCAACCCAATAGTTATTTTTCTGTTTTTATTTTATTTATTTTATTTTCTTAGGATAGTTTAATTTTTAAAAAGTCAAGTAAATGGTGAATTAGTGACCATATGAAAAAAAATTTAAATCTGGGAATTGGCGCTGTCAGCGCCAATTTGGCGCTAGTAGCGCCACAAGACCAAAAGAGACAGTGAGTTCCACGCTCACAGCGTGGTAACCACGCCATCAGCGTGGAAATCACGAAGTACTCGCGCCAATAGCGTGAAACCCACGCTGTGAGCGCCAGTTCACTTCACCATGACATTTACTTTGGCATTTTATTTTGCTGTTTTGAGTACTTTGTTGGTTTATATGGTTGGATTATTTCTCCTTATGCAGTACATTTTCATGATTATTCTGTGTTTACTGTTTAACAAGTGTATGTGTGTTCCATCTGGCAGAATTAGCCCTTCGACTAGTATACTTTGTTGCTGAAGACATCAACATTCTAAATCTGGGAATTGTCGCATGCTGTATGCGAGACTTGCTAAATACTGCAGAACTACACCACGGAAAGGACGTCTAAACAAAAAATTTTCTGAAAAAAGGGAGATATTTTAACCTTCAATTTTTTTGCTGTTTTAGTTAGATTCAATTTTTAAAGAAAAAGAGAATTTTTTTAGAGAATTCCTAAACAAGCAGTCTC